TCATTGTCTAATTTAAAACTCCGCCCATATCCATAACGTCATATTTGCCAGATTAATAACAGTTAAAATAAGTCAACTTATTTTCCACATACACCAGTCCCGGTATAGTGTATGCAATATATTTCAAATAAATTGGAACATTTGATTGGATAAGAAAGTGGGACAAACGGTAAAGCAGTTTATTTCATGGGTAAAATAAAATAAATCAGTATATTTCATGGGTAAAATAAAATAAATCAGTATATTTCATGGGTAAAATAAAATAAATCAGTATATTTCATGGGTAAAATATAAAACAAGGAACATCGCAATGCGATGCAACCAGGTTTTCAGCAAAATATTTCACAGAAGCTTTGTCATGAAGGGGCATTTGTTTTTAATTGAACTTTTAGGAGGAATTATGGCTCTTTTAATATTCCTCAAACAAAAATGATTGAGAAATTTTATGTTGTCTATTCGCCTTTTTTTCCCAAATATTTTAGAAAGGTAAACAGTACTTTATTTTTGCTTAATTTTTGCATTTTTGCGTCTCTTGTCATTTTCTTTTGTCAACAATATTCACAGCGTACACTCCATCGTCCACTGTAACTTCCGCTTGCGAGCGAGCTGTACACGGTAAACGCTACCGTAGAGAGAAAAACAGGTACAATATTTCAATACAGAATAACCAGAGAAGAAATTCTACTTTTGTAAGTAAGAGTTAGATGATATAAACTTTTTCCAGCCTATATCCTGCAGTAAAAATATCTTTTTCCGTTAACAAATGCGATTTCTCACCACAATTTTCCAGAAATGCCCTTTTTGTTGACATCAAACAACGATTTTAAAGCTTGCCATGTAATATACGACCAAATCCACTTAAATCTTTGAAGATCTATTATCGTAGCACCAAATAAAAAAGAAATACCCGTTTTGAACACATCGGTTAAGAAAATATTGACAATAGAACTGGCACTGGTGTAGTTTACTCATTGTACGGTTGCTTGCTAAATCTGAAAAACAATTCATCCGGTTGCTTGCGAGGTCACTGTACTGTTGCTTGCGAGCATATTGGCATTATATATCGTCTAGATAGTTTGAAAATTAACTTCTCAGCAATGTTTTAACACTAAAAATGTATTACTTTATTGAATTATGACATATTCAAGTTTCAGCAAGTAATTTTAAATAATTGACGGCAGGTTTGAACTATTTTGCCCTGATAACGGTGTAAGTCTGCTTTGAACATTAATTTTCTTTACCCTATGTTAAAATAGTTGCAGAGATGGTTATAGAAACAAACGCGACACCTTTTTAAAACTTTCAGTTTCTATACAGTTCTAATTCTACAACTACTGCATTTCAGATCATGGATGACTCATTTGTTTTAAACGGGCTTGACGAAATCTTTCAAGAAAGTGAAGTTGAAACGACGACCATGCCAGAGTATAAATGTTCAATCTGTGATTATTCCACCGACAAGAAAGGTAATTTAACGTGACACATATATCGAGGGCTGAATGGAAAAGTGTTGTAAGTCACATTTTTGTCAAAAATCACTTTTTTTCATTTTTGACAATCATTACTCCCAATACATCTGTACAAAAAATATAAGCGACATATTCTCATTATAAGTCACTTTTACATGATTGTTGCAAAAGTGTCGTAACTCTACGGTAATATTTCACTGAATGGAAAACTGTCGTAACTTGAGTTACATACAGTTTTCCATAATGAAGTTTAATATACATACTGTAAAATTGTAATGGAAAACTGTTGTAACTCAGACCATGTCTTTATCTTGTGCATTTAAAATGCAGGTTTACTATGAGAAATTGCTTAACATGAAAAAAACATCATCTAAATTGTATTTATATACAATATTTCAATCATTGTCTGAGAGCCATTGATGATTAACATGTATTCGAGGATGTACAAGACTATTTCAATTAAAATCTTTGTTCTATTTTAAAAATACTAGAGAAATATTTTTTTTTACTTACTTGGTATGACAGGTTTGATGTTTTCATTGTTAATACAAACTGTGACATGATCAACGTGATAATTGAACTATTAAGTTTTTCAAGAATTAAGTACTTGTATATCAAAAACAGGTATATCAAAAACAGACAGCAGCTTCCATAAAAATATGTTCAATGTTTTAACTATATTCAAACACATTAAAAACCAAATAAATATTTTTCAAATTTACATTTAATAACAGCTAGGAACCTTTGTAAAATATAACATAACAATGAAATTATTCATTTCAAGATTTAGCTGACAGGGATGTATCATTTTATAAAGTTTAATTTTGAATCATTTACCACAGTAAAACATATAATAGTAATACAAATTAAGTTTGGAATAAAACCTTTTATACATTTGAAAAGAGGGCTTAGGAGATAAGTTGCTGTTGTTGCCAAAACAAAAATAGGATCTTTGTCTCCAAGCTTTGATTATGCCTTAAAATATTTGAAATCAATTCAGATGGTAACTAGCAAGTTCCTAGAAAAGGGTCATACCCAAAATAATCAAATTAAGGATGACAAAATTTAATATGTTAAAGATTATTTTAAATCTATATCCTACAAAATGTTATGACTATCATATAAATTTATGAAACTCTCATTAAAGTTGCTTTTTCAATATTTCTTATGCCAACATGAAGTTGCTTTTCAAGAAGTTGGTTTCCTTGTACATATTTTTGAGAAGCTGTTTACTACAGTGGCATCAAACCATATTCTTACATAAAAACTGTGACACAGCAATACATTAAAGGGGAATAAAACATACATTTTAAGGTATATGTGAGCATGCATTGTTATTGCACATTTATCAATATTCATGATTTAGTGAGCTATTTAAAAATGGATGACTGCAGTATGACCAAATGATGACCATGATATTTTTTTCAAAATAAAAACAAAAATGTCAAAAGATATTACACACTTACATGGTAAAGCCTTATAACATCAGTCTCTTTAATTTACAAAATAAATTATGACAAAAACGTAAAACTACAAAGTCAAATATATATTTTCAGCCTCTATTGTTTCACATAAATAAGGATATTGTTGTTTTTGGGCATATGAAAGAAAATATAAAGATATAATTATAAGGAGGCAAATTACTGCCTTCCTAGTGAAACTGTACATATCCTCAATCACTAAAGCGTTGACTTTGACTGAATTATATGAAAGAAAAACATGGTTTGAGTTTTTTGTGTATGATCAATATCGTTGAAGGTATTCATTTGAAACTTGAAACATAACAATAGCAGTACTGGTGTCCAGTGCCATTTTGCAGCCATAAAAAGTTGCCCTGTTCCTCACTTCAGTGTTGTTATATTTTTCTGGTCCTTCGGGATCATAATGACTCCGACACTTTTAAGTGTTGAAAATTGACTACCACTCAAGCCTGGTAATAGGGGGCTTGAGGGATGTTGCATGTTTTCACAATCCCTCATGTTAAGACTCAATCAAAAGTCTGCAATTTTAAAGTAATTTTCCTGGTTTTTAATGCTTCTGAGGGATTACCTTTTCTCCAGATATTTATATATCACAACAGCAGGTGTCAAGTGCCGTTTGGCAGCAATAAAAATTTGCCCTGTGCTCACTTAAGTGTTGTTATAGTAATATTTTTCTGGTCCCTCAAGATCATTGCTTCAGGCACTTTTAATTGCTTAAAATTTAGTACTGTTCAAGCCGGTGCTAGGGGGCATGAGGACTGTTGCACTTTTTCAATATCTCCCATGTTAAGACTCAATCAAACCGAGTCTGCAGTGTTCAAGTATTTTGCTGGTTTTAATGTTTCCAAGGGATTACTTTTTTTCCAGATATTGAAAATGTGCCATCAGAATAATAGTAGTAGGTCAATGCCCTGGACAAATAACTAAAGCATGGATTTTGAATGAATAATACCCCTTTGTGAACTTACAATGTTTCTGTTTAAGTTTGTGTGTCAGTTCAAGCACAAAATGTATTCATTTCAATATTCATGGAAATTTATTAAGGATTATTATTGTAGGTCACTCACAGTCCAAAACCTTTGGCTCTAGTATGGATGGTAACTGAACATTACTGTTCCCCTCTGTGAAATGAGGACCTTTTAGGTTGAGGTTTTAAGTGCAGGTTCTCTATTCACAATAACTGAAGTTTTCATTTGAACCTTCTCATGTCTTCATGTCTTCTTTCAATTGGCAAGACCTATAACTCTAGCATGGATTTCTACTGAATTATAAGCCTTTCTTGATGAGAACATTTTTGCAGGGACCTTAATGTTTTGCTATCAAGCAGTGACAAAGTCAAGGCAGCAGTGCAAGTGACAGTTAAAGAAAGGTTTTAAAGAACTTTTTCTTTCAAAATGGTATTGTCAAATCTTAAGATCGGTTTTCCATATTAATACCAAAATGTAAAATATTTGTGCAATATCTGCCGCTTTAACATGTGTTTATTATGACAAAGTACTGTTGGTATGATTATTCTAAGAATATGTTAAAGTGTAATAAGATTGTTAGAATTTATTAAAACCATACATACAATACAACAACAACATTTTAAAGACCTAAGATCGGAATCAAATATATGAAGAAAAAAAAATTATATTTGCTAAACTCACACTAATCTTATTTCCCATTATTCTTTTTCTTAATTTAATAGTGCCCAATTTTCAAATGTGTATTGAATAAAATGAATACATTCAGTTTTTGTCACATTAAATCATAAAAAGGTGTCACCATCAATTGTTGAGCAGTAAAAAAATGGAAAACTGTACCTATCTCAAGAGTTACGACACTTTTCCATTAACATCAGTATGTGTTTTTTATTTATTTCAGACGTAAAACTGTCGTAAGTCAAAAGTTCATCAATATTATCATATATATACATTTTTTCTAGATATCAGGTATTAATTTAGTAAAATAAGAATATTAAATGCCTATTTGTGACTTTAAAACTAACAAAACGTTGATCAGGTAGTAATACGATAATTTTTTGCTTCTCCTGTAAAATTGTGTAAATATGACTTACGACAGTTTTCCGTTCAGCCCTCGATATGTACATGATACAAATGGTAAAAAGAAAGATGACAAAAAGCAGTTTACGTGTGAAATATGTGAGTATAACACTGGGAAGAAATACAATCTAGAAAGACATATAAAGGTTCATGTTGATACAGACGAAAGTGCAAGTAAAACTACATTGATGTGCGATGTATGGGGAATGCAGTTCTTGTCTAAATTTGGAATGGCCTTGCACACAAAAAATGAGCATTTAAAACAATTCAAATATGAATGCCAGATTTGCAAGAAAGGATTTAACCAGTTGCTTCCTTGCTTCCATATAAGGGACACGTATCATCGCATGTTAAACACACCAAACAGAAATGTGAGAAATGTAACCTGACTTTTCAACATAAAAGCAGTTTAGACCGCCACAAAAAGACTATACATGATGACGTCAAATATGATTGCGCCGAATGTGAGCAACACTTCACTAACAAAAGTCACCTCAAAGATCACAAGAAAGTCGTTCACTGTGGCCGAAAGCTTCAATGTGATAAGTGTGTCAAGTTTTATAAATGGAGGCCAGGCCTTAATCATCATAAGAAAACTGCACACAATTGAAGAATTATTTTGATTTTCAAAGAGCATATAAAACATATAGCATCTCTTTACCGGCGTATATGTTACTGATTTTAATAAATGTGTTATTTGTTATTATCATCACAATTATTTTAGACATTTGAATTTTACACAACAAGAAGTTGTGTTTTAGGCATCTGAACTCACTTAATAAATATTTGGTCATCAATCGTGAAGATTAATAATTACTTATCTTAAATAGAAGTTGCATTTTGATATTAAATATACATGTAGGACTCGGGTACACAATATAAATATACATTTGTGACAATTTAAGAATACGACAATGTGAATTTGAAAAGATAAAACATACCAATCAATGTTACACTTAAATATAGCTTTGTATATTGCCTGTTTAAACTTACTTTTATAAAAGTCCATCTCTTCATCGTGTATACATGTACAGTTATTGCTATATTTTTATTTTATTTTATTATTGCTGAGCAGGTACACTCGACATTATTTTAATACTGTGATCATATCTGATTTTCTGTGATTCATTTATTTATTTATTTTTACCATTTTCTAATGTCTTTAATAATCCTAAATAATAATAAACTATTTTGATAATATTACCATGACTTTTTTATTTTCAACAAGACTCATTTTGTAGTAATATGTAAAACTTAGGTTGTAAAATGACACACTGGTTTATCTTTGTCGTAATGTCCATTATCAAAATTTTACATTCCGTTTGAAATGTCCATATGCCTTAAGATATGAACAGCTTTCAAGACAGAAAAACGGTCTACGGTCTAAGACATCTGGTTGAATTGCACATATATGTCTCCATGATTAGTATTAACCTACAAAAAAGAGAAGTTACAATAACATTGAATATACGTTGAACATCATGGCATGTAAATATGTTAACTGCAATTAAATTCAATCACTTTAAGTATATAATTATTAGAGTCGCAATTTACCATCACAAAGTTTGACATACATTAGTTATTAAACCAACATATTATTTTTTATGGTTTAAATGCATGGTGAATGCCATTATAACCTTTGAAATGGGCCAACTGTTCAAGAATTGTGTTTTTAATTGTAACAAAACTTGTAGCTTGCTCCCAGGCAACCGTACAGTTTTTTTCAAGTCCTCATAAGCAACCGTACAGTGAGGTAGCAAGCAACCGTACAGTGAGGGAACATCAACAGTTGCTAATTTATTGTCAATATCTTCGCAACCAAGACGTTTACAAATAACATTGTTTAATTTTTTGGTGCTTAGAACATAATTCTCGATAGCATCAAAAAGATTTGTTCAAATATTAGGTTTAAAGCTTTGAAATCTTCGTTTGATGCAAACAATTTTGATTTTTTTCGGGAAATCTGAGTGAGAAACCGCATTTTGTCTGAAAATATATGTTTAAACATTAGAATATTGATTATGAATAATTTAGTTTATTTCAGTACCACACATATAAGTAAAAAAAATCCGATGATCTATTTATTTTGGCAAGTTTTACATGTTTTTCAGCCTTGACCTGCGTTTTACGATGTATATTTCGCTCGCAAGCGGAAGTCACTGTGGACGATGGAGTGTACGCTGTGATATTGGCGTGTGGTGTTTTGTGCGATATCAAGAAAAGTATGTTCACAATTTTAAAAAAATACTTGAATGATGTCTTGGAAGAAACATGGGAATTTAGTGAGCGCCAGGGCACTTGATGACAAAGCTTCTGAGAAAGTTTGGTCAAAATCCATTGAGAAATGTAGGAGAAGTTGCGCACTGTAGAAATTGTTCACTATATATTCTGTATAAGGAAAAAATATACAAAGGGCCATAATTCGGTCAAATATTATCCAATCACAAAACCCTGACAATATGTGCCAGGCACTTGATAACAAAGCTTCTAAGAAAGTTTGGTCAAAATCCGTTGAGAAATGTAGGAGGAGTTGAGCACAGAAGAAATTGTTCTCTATATATTCTGTATAAGGAAAAAATATACAAAGGGCCATAATTCGGTCAAATATTATCCAATCACAAAACCCCGACAATATGTGCCAGGCACTTGATAACAAAGCTTCTAAGAAAGTTTGGTCAAAATCCGTTGAGAAATGTAGGAGGAGTTGCGCACAGAAGAAATTGTTCACTATATATTCTATATAAGGAAAAAAAACAAAGGGCCATAATTAGGTCAAATATATACCAATTGCAAAACCCTGGCAATATGTGACAGGGCACTTGATGACAAAGCTTCTGTGAAAGTTTGGTCAAAATCCGTTCAGAAATGTAGGAGGAGTTGCGCTTAGAAGAAATTGTTCACTATATATTTTATATAAGGAAAAATAACAAAGGGCCATAATTAGGTCAAATATTATCTAATCGCAAAACCCCGACAATATGCGCCAGGGCACTTGATGACAAAGCTTCTGTGAAAGTTTGGTCAAAATCCGTTGAGAAATGTAGGAGGAGTTGCGCACAGAAGAAATTGTTTACGCCCGCCCGCCCATCCGCCCGCCGACATACCTCAATCTAATAACCAGTTTTTTCCTTCGGAAAACCTGGTTAAAAACAGCATATTTCATGGGTAAAATTAAATAAAGCAGCATATTTCATGGGTAAAATTAAATAAAGCAGCATATTTCATGGGTAAAATTAAATAAAGCAGCATATTTCATGGGTAAACTTACATACATTTCTTACACTGTTCTCAATATGTAATTGATTCCATTATATCAATGTTGAAAAGGGATTATCAAATTTTGTGAGTGTAGCTGCTTGTGATTTATGAAGCTGTTAAATTTTCAAAGCCCAATGAATATTTCAGTACTGTGACATGACATGAAAATAAATGAAAAATTTGATTGCTTTATTCTTTGTCAATAAACACTGGTTAGGGACTACTTGTTCATACGACTGTTATGTTTTCTCCCTCGACTACATAGTTTACAAAGCCTTTTAAAGCAACAATAAAAAGCATTTTTGATTTATATTTTCAGTTCTTACACTGTTATCTTTTCATACAATACTGAAAAAATATCTCACATGTATACACTAACACCGCAGATTTGATCCATATCAGTTGGTAAACGGCGCCAATCAATAAGCAGCGTCATGACGTCATCCCAATTATACAACTCTTTCTTAAACGCAGATGTCATTTCAAACATACAAGAATGATAAACTGGGCACTGATGTAGACACATTACAATCCATTCTAAGACGTACGTTTTTTGTTGTTGAAAGCTTGATAAAATAACTTTTTTTCTTATCTTAGCAACAGCAGGGTGCGAAATCGAATTATGCAGTAGCGCTATACGAAAACCGTTTCAATATAAATGATCTACCATTTCTACATGTAATTCGAACACTGTAAATGACATGGTTCAATAATATGTAGCAAGGGGTCAACTTTGTTTTACTAATCAAGCACCCACCCGTGCCATTTTTAAAGGTCATGTTGACGTATTTTAAGTAGGTTAAAACAGACACAATACATGCCTCAAAGTCAAAAACTTTACTAGGTTTACAGAAGTTTAACATCCGAAAAATAATTACAGTTAACTGAAATTATTGCTCGAGAGATTGTACAACGAGGCTCTCTTATGTTTTGTATTGTGGCTGATTTGGAACGCTTTTGTGCGTCGTGATGGTGCTAGCGACAACAGGACTAAGCGTTAAACGGCGCGTTGTCGGACTTTCTTCTTGTCGTCCTGTCGCTATCGATGTACGCCAAACGGCGCGTTGTCGTGCGGCGTGTTGTCGCCATGTCACATTGTCGCTCGGTTCAAATCGAAGGATTGGCTTATAAGCCAAGCGACAGGGCGACATCGCGATAACACGTCGAGCGACAACGCGTCGTTTGGTGTGCTTCGCTTGAAGCATGACGACAAGACGACAGCGCGACGACATCGCAACGCGCAATGTACCAAATCAGCCACCATAGTTTTGTGATAAGAGTGGAATGCTACCCTATACCTAATGGATTTACTGTCAATGCTGACTAGCTATTATTCAAAGGTATTCTTGAATTACTTATTTTAAATGATTTCATTTCATGATCACATGTTGTATAATCAGCCGTATATGACTTAATTGATATGTAGTAAATAAGGAGCGTGTTACATAACGCATTTTGATAATATTTATACAAAGAACTGAACTATCAATTAACTGAAAAGAATAATCCACAAATTAAAATAATATAATATTTATATTGTATTACCTAATGCCATCTATAAATACCAATTTCTTAATAACAACTGTTTAATTGAAACGCTGAAAGCACGTCTTAGCTATCACGTGCGAACGTGGTAGATAAAATATTTCTGATGGCCACTTTATACCACCGTAACTATATATTTTAAATAGAAAGTATATCGCCATCACCCCAGTAATACATTAAATGGTTGCCGTATGTACAGTGACGTAAAAATATCGTCTGCCATGATGCTGAATATCATTGATCGAGGCTTATGACATTAACTATACGAATCATTGCAAGCCAGAAATCACATGTTTAAGTGGGTGTGTATTAAGGTGACATACATCTCTATCAGGCTACAGATCAATATATGAAGAAATCAAACAAACAACAACACGACGCGCGACTAAATAAGCGGGATAAGATAAAGACAATGGCGTGAAAATTGGCAAATTGTTCGCCATACTAGGTTTGAACACAATCCTATAGCAGTGTGGATACCTAATTAACTATAAGCTGGAGTAATGTATGCATTACTGTGACAAATATTGTCAGGCGGCAGTAAAGCTTTTTCCCGAGATAAAACTAA